TGATTCTATTGAAAACAGTGGTGAAATGCAATCCTTTTTGTAGTTGATGACTATAACGCAGGCTAATGAGGTGGGTTGCGAAAGAGTTTGGGTAACAGGCGACGTTTCAGTTTTCTTTTTCATTTTTCTCTGACGTATTCTCAGTGTTCGTCAACCTTAGCAGAATTGGGAAGTTACTGCGGCCGTAGAATTTTGGGTTCCCGCTGCGTGAAGGCAAGGTTGTTTTGAAATTTTTGGGAGAAGAAAAATACGGAAGTTTTTATTGAAGTGGTCTTTAATTGTTTTGTTTACAGCATATACATATAATATATACATATACCAGCCTGTTGGGAAAATAATGTGAATTTATTGCGCCTTGGAATAGCCCATCTTCGCTTTGTGACGGCTAGCTGTGGATGAAGATTTAGTGGTGTTATTAAGCAAGAAATTTTGTTGCGACAAATCCACATTATTTTCCCGGCAGACCGATATAGCGCCTTAGACTCCGTGGTAAATTTTTTTGCCAAGCCGAGGCGTAAAAGAGCTAAGTATCCAAAAATTTTCATTTTCTCTGCCACGTTTTGCAAATCTGACCAAAAATCTTGTCAATAAGTGGCCTATATATCGCAAAGACACCACATTTGGCCAAGGTTTGTGCTGTTTTCACGGCAACATAGAAAAATTTCGGTTTTGTAAAGACTTCTTGCACGTCTGCGACGGGAAAAGAGGCGTTGCTGCGACAAATCCTCATTATTCTCCCACAGACTAAAATTTGTTTTTTCATGTTTTGTCATTCTCTTGTGTTATCATCTATACATGTGTAATATATGAGTAACGGCCGGTTTCCGAAGAAACAGAGGCCGTATCATCCTTTTATAATATATACCATCAAAAATAGATGGTTTCCAAATCTTCGTCGGTCTTCAGGAAGAGTTGTCTTGTTTTTCCATAGGCCTAAAAGGCCAGAACAGCTGCTACAGCTGCTTTTGAATCGCCGATTTTCCCTTGAAAAATGGAATATCAAAAACGAGTTCTAGAATAGTTTAAGAGTTAAATATGTAGAATATTTTTCCCGGACATATCCAAGACTCTAGCTGCCTCGAGCAAATCAGAAATAGCCGAGATTTTTAGATCAAAAGTTGGCAAAAATGCGACACCTTTTTGCGAATTTTGGCATGAAAAGTTTTCCTACCTAATTCTACCGTATTGAGTAATCATTCCACAAAAAATCAATTTTTTCCATGCCAAACTGGCAAAGATTAGGCCAAAAAAGTGTTCTTTCTCTGACCGCTCTCCGCGTTTTGCCTGCTCCCTCGGCCGCAAAGATCGTTCAATATCTCGGATGCGCCTGCATAGTCTAAGCTGAAACTTTCAGGAATTGGTATGTGGCCTATGGACAACGTGTGTGCAAAATTTAAAAAAAATCTGAGCGTCGTGTTTCGTACGCTTCTCTTGTGAAAAAATATTTTTTTTTTCAAAAATTGCAATAATTTTCAAAAAAAAATCTAATTTTTCAATAATTAATTAATTTTTCCACAAAAAAAATAAAAAAATTACCGCAGTAAAATTAATTTTTCTAATTGAAAATCGTTTTTTCTTTCAAAAAAATCAATTTTTTCTACCTGCCCCCTCGGCCGCAAAGATTGTTCAATATCTCGGCTGCGCCTGCAAAGTCTGAGCTAAGATTTTCAGGAATTGATACTTGGTCTATGAACAAAGTGTGTACAAAATTTATCGGAGCATTGTGATTTTCCAAATTTTTCGAAATTTTCTATTTTTCAACATTAAGATGACGGAATTTCCGGGTTTTGATGACTGCAGCTGAATCGGCGTCCCCGACTTGCTCTGTAATCCTATCACGTTTTTCTTTGTGGCATTTCGTACTTTAGCTATTGAAGAATTTCTGGATTTTTAAGTCAAAAAATTTTTAAATCAAAAAAAATTTTTTTTATCAAAATTGGTTAAAATCAAAAAATATTCTTCTGGAAGCATCGTTTTGAAATCTTTAATAGTCTAAGCCCAGTTTGACCCCTCCATTCCCATCTACAATATTGAAAACCGTCCTCAAAGCCTATTACATTCCCCTCCGTTTCAAAAGAGACCATGGATTATATTCTCCATTCTCTCCTTTCCTTCTGGTTCTTCCACTCCCCGATTCCAATATACCTCGAGGTTGTTTCTACCCGATTCCTGCGCTTTCCCGCATTTTCCGGTAAAAAACAGTGTCGGAATCGATTTGTTTATGAGGGAAAAGCGGTTTACGCTGACTTTTAGTGGTCTTTGTATGAATCTTGGGTGATTTTTCGGTCGGAAAAGTAAACTGGTGAGTGTTTGGTCAAAAAATTTTCACTAAAATACGATTTTTTTCAAAATGAAATTTTTTGAAAAACATTTTTTTTTTTGATCTTGACGAAACTTGGCATTAATTTCGAGTAAAATTTTCTAAGTTCAAAAATTTTTAGCTTTCGCTTTGCAGGAATAACCGAGATTTTTAGCTCAAAAATTTCCAAAGAAAAAAAAAATTTTTTTTTCGATTTTTATTTTGAAAAATTGATAGTATTTTCAGAGCATAGAGTAAAATTTTTCCCCAAAAAATCAATTTTTTCCCAGCGAAACCCGCAACGATACAACCAAAACAATTTTTTCTCTGACCGTCTCTCCTCATTTTGCATGATCTCTCGCAAAAAAGAAGGGTCAATATCTCCGTTGCGCCTGTAATGGGCGAGCTGAAAATTTTAGAAGTTAATCTATAACCTTGGAAGAGCTGACAGGCCAAATTTGAAGAAAATATCAGCATCGCGCTTTGAGCAATATCAATTGAAAATTTTTTGGTATTTTTTTTATTTTTTTGTAATTTTGTTTTCAGTATTGGTCATAAATCGAATTGTAAACCCATTTGCTACCTTTTTACGGTCTTTTCATGGCTTTGTTATTTTTCTACACCTTTACACACCTTTTTCTCCGTAATTCCCCGCCTCCGACCTTTTCCATCCCACTCTTTTTTAAACTGACCCAATTCATCGGCGAATTCATCAGCAAAAATCGAACTTCCTTCGTCTACGATCATCTGTTTACCCCGAAATCTTTTGGTGATATTCGATTTTTAGCTTTTGATTTCTCACTTTTTGCGACGATATTATTTAGGTGTCTAGTGTAATATAGTGGCAAAATCGTAGGCAAATTTAGGTTTAAAAAGTTGTAATTAGCCTTAGTAATTATTAAATCGCCTATATTTTTGATTTCGAACGTTTTTTGAGGTAAAATACGCGTTTGATTTTTTTGGCTTTGGGTCCCGCCACGAAAACTTGAAAAGTTTCAAATGTCGCAAAAAATGGTGCAGAAATGTTTATTGGCCTCAGAAATGGTATTACCAATCATTACCTTTCTAAATATTTTCAGTGTTGGGTCCCACCACGAAAACTTGAAAAGTTCCAAATGCCGTAAAAAGTGGTGTGGAAATGATTATTAGGCTTAGTAATAATATTATAAAACTTTTCATCGATAAAATTAAGCCTAGAAATGGCTTATTTTTAACATCTTCATCAAGTACAATATCATATTTACATCTAATTTCTAGCCTCCGAAACCGCTGGAAACGCCTTGTTTTGTTCTCCAAACCACATTTCAGAGTAATTTCGGGGAATACCTGGCAATTTCCACATCAGGTTACCATGGTAATCCCTCACGTAACTTGGAGTATTTCTGGCCCGACCAATGGAGAGAAATCCTGCCCGCAGGGCATTTGCATATTAATAGAGAGCCTTTCGTTGTATGGAGTTTGATGTGGATTCTGCGAGGGGGAAATTGACGTGTCAAATGGGGGTTTTACGTATTTTAGCGAGGAGTTTTGAGATGTTGAAATTTGATGAGCAAGCCTGCCTAAAATAAGGTCATAAGTGGTGGTAGAAGAGGCTAGGGAGGTTTATGTCGCAAATGTAGAGTGAGGTATTTTTGTTCAATTGAATTTTAAAATACGGATGTTTTTAATTATGATTCTGCTTTAAAATATAAAATAAATTTTTTGTCATCTGATGTCTAAAATAAGGTGAGAAATTACAAATTAATGACTTTTCTAAAATTATACTGACTAGAATTAGCTTCAGGAGCCCTTTTTATTCATTTTTCACCTAAAATACGGCTGGTTTTAGCTTCAAATTTCTAAAATACAACTGTTTTTTGCAATTTTAGTCATCAAAAACAATATTTTATCAAGTTATCGTCTTAAAAATTATCATTTCTACCCTGCAATATCCCAAAAAATTTCTCTAAGGTTACAGTTTCTTATCCACTATCTATTTATCATATTATATATTCCACATCCCCTCCACGATGACCGAATATATTATCCATGGCATTCGGAATAAACAATATTGTTTTTTCCGCCCAAAATGTATACATTTCATCTCAAAACGCCTTCCGAACCCCCTCTTACGCTTTATACACTCTTTTTACCGCTGTTTTCTGCTCTTCTAGGTTTATTATAGCGTCCGATATTTGTTTATTCCGCGAGGAATTTGGTCCGTTGAGATGAAAAATGGAGATGTTCTTGGAAGCGAATGGGATGTTCATAACGAACACAGTGTTTTTGATTGCTTGAGGGGGTGTTTTCCATGTGCTTTAGTGTTTTTTTGAATTTCTTTTTAAAAATTTTTGGTCCCGCCCGGAAAATTTGCGAAGAAATTGGGAAATAGCGAAAATAAAGATGATTACTTGAAATTTGAGATACTAATTAGAGTGTAAAATACGTCACGAGCTATTTTTATCATATCAGTATGGCCTATTTTTGGCGGGAAATACTTTATTCAAAATTTTTTGGCATTCTGTTTCAAGTCGATTTTTGTCGATTTTCTCGATCGAACTCGCCGAGGAATGCGGCGCTCTCTCGCATCAATCATTCTCTCTTCTCTTCTCTTCGTATTTTATCGCGATTCCCCGCTTTTTGCGCGAAATTCACTTTATTCTTCATGGATAATATAACGATCTTGTTTTTGAAGGAGAACGACCAAGAAGAGCACTGAAACATGAACAGAAGTTACAGCGCAGTCCTACTGTGCCTTTTACTACTTACAAAACCATTGGCTGAGGCCAGACGAGGCGGCGGCGCCAGCATTAGCAGAGGAGGCGGAGCTGCTCGTGGTGGAGTTGCTGGTGGAAATGCGGGAGGAGGTAAGGGTTTTCTTTTGTTGTTTTATGTTTTTAGAGGTCTGTGAAGTTCTTAAGAGTATTTTATACCGAAATTTGACTTCAAATCTCGAAGATTTTTTATATTATACTTGGCAGGGTATGCCCAAAAAGAAATGGTGAATATGTGGCTAAAGTAGGAAGTGAATTCGGTGATGTTTGCTTGATCTGGACTAGAGTTTCATATGTTATCGTAGAGTTGAAGTTTTGGGTTCGTTTTACTTGAAAAAATCGGAGAAACTGGTCAAAACTTTAGCCATGTGCAACATCATTACGGATAGCAGGAAATTAAGGTGAACCTAAGTTATTGTTGAAATTCTTGGAAAGTTTTTTGTATTGAAATGTTCGTTATGCTTTGATGCGGGTTTCTAAGGAAGTTTTCCGGTTTGACCAGGTTCTTTTTCAACCAATATCAGCAATATATTATTTTTGATACCTAACTAGGGAAGTGTACAAACGAACCCTCGCCAAATGGCAAGTGTTATACACCATTGGAAAGCCCTTGAAAAATGGTGCAAGACACCATTTTCACTTTTTGCAGAATGCCCCAGGGCAAAAAATTATAAACGGTTGATTTGTCCCTTAAGTAGTTACAATATCTGCTGTGGGGCATAATACATGTTATTTCAAAACGCTAAATAGTACGGAATGCTACTGGGTTGGCATAAGGATCATTATGAAGTTTAGCGCTTGCCAGTAAGACCATTTTACATATGGTATTTACTGGTTTTAAATGCCCATAATGTGAAAAACCACTTTTCACTTTTTTTAATGTTGAAAAACATGTAAGTTTGATGTTTTTAACCGTAACCGGCCGTCTTCCAGTAAAATTAAAGCGTTTGTAAAAGTTTAATGCAAATATTTTCCTAACTGTAAGAACGCAAAAATGATTTTTCTCAAGCTGGGAACTGAACCCGGCTTGCTTTGGCTTATCAGCCTGCTCAGCAACCACTACACTATCGGTCTGTCGGGAAAAAAACGGCGGATCGTCGCGCCTCGGAGTCGCTCATCATCGCTTTGCGATTGCAAGCCGCGACTTGGGATTTGGTGCGCGATAGCGGCGAGGCGAGACATTTTGCTGCGACGATCCGCCGTTATTTTTCCGACAGACTGATATTGAAGCAACCCTCTTCGAGGATTTTTTCCTGCCCAAGAGAAAGAAATATTTTTGTTGCAAAATGGCCTAAAAATAATACAATTTACAGTATGTCGTCGCGGAAAGTCATTCTGCAAAAAATGAAAATGGTGTCTTCTACCATTTTTCAAGGGCTCTTTAATGACGTATGTCACTTATCATTTGGTGAGGGTTCGTATGTACACTTCCCTAGTAAAACCAAGTTTTTTTTAAAATTTTCCAGGTAAATCTCTAAATTTCTCTTTGATTTTATATAATTTTCTGAGAGACACTTTATGATTAGACTCAGTGCAATGTGATTTATCATTCTCTTCGCTATATTTTACCTGTATCTTCATCTTGTTTCAGGTGGCTTTGCTCCAAACCAAGGTGGTGGTTTCCAACGTCCAGGCGGTGGATTCCAACAACCGCATCCTCAGCAGCCCACATTCAACCAAGGGAACCAAGGACAGTGGAATCAAGGGGGTTCTCGCGGATTTGGAGGTCCCGGGTTCCAAGGACAGCCACACATCAACAGTCAACCGCATTTTACGTCCGGAAACTCGTTGGGATCTCCATCCAGAGCTAGTGGATTTAAGAGTGCGTTGGCTGGAGCTGCTGTTGGTACAATCGGTAAGAGTTTGGGTTTTGTTTTTTCTTGTTTTAGGAAGAAAATTTGAGAAGTGTCATGGATAATATAAGAAATAGCATATTTCTTGTAAGCCTTCATGTGGAAAGGCAAAAGATAGATCAATTATAAAAGAAGAATCCATTTCTGACATGTTAAATTTTATCTTGCCACCTCTTTCGGCCATTTTTATCAAAATTTTTTGTGATGATGGATAATATAAAATTTGTCGATTTATATGAATTTTTGGTGTTTAAAGGCACAGAGTCGGTGAATAATGGAAATTAAGCTCCTAGAAGATCCATTAGCTATGTAATTTATATAGCTTTGTCAAAAAAATTATCTCATGGATAATATTAAGAGGCTAATTTTAATTAATTTCCCCCAATTTTCAGGTGGATTGCTCGCGTTCGAGGCCGGAAAAGCGATTATCCGTTCAGCCACGACTCCATTCAACCACGATGGCCGTGATTACTACTTTGATCGTCAAAATCACCCACAAAATGGCAACGCAAATATGTGCGCCATGCCGTTGCAACAGTTGATTGCCACTCAAGCTCCGGCCCCCACTACCACCACCACCGTGGCTCCGGTTCCGGCTGCCGGTGATGCTGGAGCGGCGCCGGTCACCACCACTATGGCTCCGCAACAGGTTCTTCAGAATGTAAGTGGTCTAGTGGAATATCGTTGAAAGGTTGATGAAAAAATGATTGATTTGTGAGGAAAATTTTTTTTTGGAGTTGTGATGGGATGGTTTTTGACATGAGAGAATATTTTTTTATAAAATGCGACTTTGATTTTTGAATTTTGGGTCCCGCCACGAAAAGTTGAAATGTCCGGAAAGTCGCTGAAAAAGGGTTCAAATTGTAAAAGAAGCCTTATAGAACTATAAAAAAGAATTGTTATACACTTTCTCGTTTTTTGTGGCTTTGCTTTTTGAATTTTTGGGTCCCACCACGAAAACCTGAAATGTCCGGAAAGTTGCTGAAAAAGGGTTCAAATTGTAAAGGGAGTCTTATTGAACTGTAAAAAATTTTTTTATACATTTCGGCTATAAAAATTTTCATTTTCGAACAAACTTTTGCACCTAGTATAATATAAATTAATATCCGAATTTGCAGATCCAATTCCAAGACGGAACCCGTCCGAAAGAGGTTGTCTGGTCATGCAAAGCCACTGAGATTTGTTGCGGCACTGATTGTTGTCCCGCGCCGCAGAATCAGGCCGGCGCGCCCAACGCGGCGCCGACTGGTAAAAGCGGAGGCGCCGGCATCGGCGGAATCATCCTCGGGTAAGTTGAGTGTGACAAAATGAGTGTTTGTGTGCTACAGCTATTCGTTTGTGTCTGTTCAGCAGTTTTGTGGTCGTTGACGGTGAAATTTTGAGTTTTGGAAATCGACCGGTCGATTTTTGAAAATGAGATTTTTTGAATTTTTGGAAGAATTTATATGTTGTAAACAATTTTATGCCTATTTTACATTGATTTAGTCGATTTTAAAGCCAAATTCGAAATTTTTTGTTGTATTGGACATGTGTATGTAATGTGTTGTGTTGTGTGTAAGATAACAAAAAATTTCCCTCCCGCACTAATTCCGCACAACCCCCGAGACTATTGCTCGATTATTTCCAGTGCTTTAGTATTCTCCTTATTCTACTGATCCTCTCCTGCTGCTGCTGTTTCCTGGTCTACAAGTTCTGCCGCGAATCCATTGAATGCCTAATACCGAAGCGCCGAGAGGACAATTATTACGACGATGGCACTAAATATGATGGAAATGGACAAGGTTAGCGATTTTTGAAGGTTTCGGGGAGATTTGAAGGGGATTTTGAGGTCAAATTTGGATTTTTTCATCAATAGGTCTAGTGTAATATAGAAAATTTGGAATTTTTGATGTGATTGTGCTAATTGTTGATGGAAATGAGGGTTTTATGAAGTTTTGGGACATTTGTGACCTGATTTGAGTAAATTGGGGGATTTGTTGATGTGTTTTTATATTACACTTGATCAGGTCTAGTGTAATATAAAAAGTGAAGAAGCAGTCAAACCAGATAGGTAATTTTTGTGGGAAATGCTCTGAATATGCCGGAAAATGTTTTTACAATGCATATTAAAAATTTTTGGCCAATTAAATAGCAATTTTGATATTACACTAGGTACTGATCTCTAAAATAAGGTCGAAAACTGTGAATTTTGGCGTTCTTTGAGTTCCAAAAGGACTGCAATGCCATTTATACTCCTTTTCACGTCAAAAAATTGTACTTTTTGCAGGTAACGCCTATCCAATGGGCCCATATCCACCACAACAGAACTACCCACCACCCCCTCAATACCCACAACAAGGAGGCTACTACCCCGCCCAGCCACAACCACCCCAAGGATACCCTCAATACCCCCATCATCAACAGTTCTAAGCCTGTATTCCTCTAGTTTTTTGAGACTGAAGCGTGTTGTTGTATTTTTGTGATGATTTTTTTTAGTTTTGAAATTTTGTGGGGTAAATGCGGGAAATTTGGTGGGATTTTAACGTATTTTAGAAGATTATAAGCTGAATTTTTGATTTTTAGGAAAATTTTTAGAGTATTTGGTCTTTTTTGGGGTTAAATTTGCAATTATATTACACTAGGTCACCAACTTTTGAAAAAATAAAAAATTTTTTGATTTTTTGATGAAACTTAGTGGTTTTTTAGTTGGAATATAGAAGAATAAGGTGTGAATTTTTGTAGAATGTAAAATTCAGCTGTTTAGAAATTTTCTAAAATACGAAAAACCCCGAATTTTCCGCGAATTTTGCCAATTCCCAAGTCCAAATCGGCTATACAGGTCTTTCCGATCGCTTCCTCCAGAAATTGTAGACCCCCCTCAGCAGCCATAGCTGTATATACTCACATATTTGTCTTACACATCCGATATTATCTATTTCCCCTTCGATTTTTATATTATTTTAGTCAAAAATTGAAATTTTTTCAAAATTTTTTTGGATTTTTCGCATTTTTCACAGAAAGATTCGATGATTTTTGAATGAAATTTTGATTTTCCTCCTGTAGAACACATGAAAATGGGTATTTCGTATTGTATTTTTGGTATTTTCACTCGAATTTTTGAAAGTTTTTTATTTTTTTTTGAATAAAAAATAATTTTTTTTGATTATTTTTGAATTTTTTGGAGTTGTGAGTATTTAGAATCTAAGAATATTGAAGGCTATTGCATTTTATTTTGTTTTTTGACGGCGTATCACACCTGGTCTTGTTTTTTCGAACGAAAGTCGTCTGAAAACCACAATTTTCTTGTTTTTTCGTCTGGTTTTGAGGGTTTTAAAAGAGTGCAGTGGTGGAAAAGCACAACAAATTAAAATAAATGACATGTACGAAATTTGTACATCTGAAATCTATCATTTTTGAGACCTAAAATACGAATAAAAAATTTTTGGGAATTGAAAAACTAATGTCTAAAATAAGGTCGGTAATGGGTGAAAAACGCCTGTAACCTCAAATAAATTTTATTTAATTAATTTTGAATGTGTAAAATACGGTTTTACGAAGAAAAAAATTTAAAAATTTAAAAAAATTTGAAATTTTTTTAAATAATTTTTTTGTCTAGAACAAGGTCAGAACTGCCCTAAAAATCTTTCTAATCTCTTTTTCTCCCTTTAATATTCCATTTTTCCCCTACAGATTACTGTAACATCACTTTTTCTCAAAAATTTTTTAAAAAATTTTGAAAAGTTTAATAATTTATATCTAAAATAAGGTCGGGAATGGGTAAAAAAGCACCTGTAACCTCAAATAAATTTTATTTAATTAATTATGAAACTGTAAAATACGGTTTTACGAAGAAAAAATTAAAAAATTTGAAATTTTTTTTTAAATAATTTTTTGTCTAAAACAAGGTCAGAAGTGTTCTAAAAGTCTTTTCAATCTCTTTTTCTCCCTCTAAAATTCAATTTTTATCCCTACAGATTACTGTAACATCACTTTTTCTCAAAAAATTGAAAAAAATTTTTTTGAAATTGAAAAACTAATGTCTAAAATAAGGTCGGGAATGGGTAAAAAAGCACCTGTAACCTCAAATAAATTTTATTTAATTAATTATGAAACTGTAAAATACGGTTTTACGAAGAAAAACATTAAAAAATTTGAAATTTTTTTTAAAAAATTTTTTGTCTAAAACAAGGTCAGAACTGCTCTAAAAGTCTTTCCAATCTCTTTTTCTCCCTCTAAAATTCAATTTTTATCCCTACAGATTACTGTAACATCACTTTTTCTCAAATTTTTTTTAAAAAATTTTTAAAAATTGAATAATTTATATCTAAAATAAGGTCGAGAATGGGTGAAAAAGCACCTGTAACCTCAAATAATTTTTATTTAACTAATTTTGAATGTGTAAAATACGGTTTTACAAAAAAAAAAAAAATTAAAAATTTGAATTTTTTTTAGATATTTTTTTGTCTAAAACAAGGTCAGAACTGCTCTAAAAGTCTTTCCAATTTTTTTTTTTCTCTGTAATATTCCATTTTTCCCCCTAGAGATTACTGTAATGTCAAAAAATTTTTTTTTATTTTTGTCAAAATTTTGTATATCGAATATCAAGTATAATATGTTGAAAGCCGACCCCGTTAATGGACCCAATTTCGATCCCGGAACACATTTCTTGTCGTTTCGGATAACTTTCGACCTTTTCTCTTTTCGTGAACGGCCATGTGTTGTTTTCGGCCGTTTTTTTGGCTTCGAAAGAAACGAAGTCTGGCCCCATTTTCTTATTTTCTGGACCGAAAATTTTTGCTTTCTCCAATTTTTCGGAGCGCCTTCGACCTCTTATGCACATTACACTTCAATTCCGAATGGATTTTGGTTTATTTTGTTTGGGAATTAGAAAATTTTTGATGAAGAACAATTTTTGTTGAAATTTATAGCTTGTCAAAGGGTTGAGAATAATTTTAATTAATTTTTTCTGTCGTATTTTAGCACGTTTGTTTTATTTTTAAACTAATTTTTTAGCCGCCGCACCGTGCAAAATATTTTTTTCAGAAAATACCACACAGTGCAAACAAAATTTTTTTTCAAAGGATTCCGCACGGTGCAAAAAAACTTACCAGATATTTGCGCACAGTGCAAAAAAATCCAAAAACTTTCGCACCGTGCAAGACATTTTTTCAAAAATTTCGCACAGTGCAATAAATTTTTTTTAAAAAAGTCCGCACGGTGCAAAAAAAACTTTTTCAAACATTTCGCACGGTGCAAAAAATTTTTCAAAACATTCCGCACAGTGCAAAAAATTTTCAAAAAATTCCGCACATTGCAAATTTTTTACCAAAAAAATTACGCACAGTGCAACAAAAACTTTTTTTAAAAAAAGTCCGCACGGTGCAAAAAAAAAACTCAAAAATTTCGCACAGTGCAAAAAAAATTCTTTTAATAAGTTCCGCACAGTGCGAAACAATTTCAAAAAATTCCGCACAGTGCAAAAAAAAATTTTTCAAAACATTCCGCACAGTGCAAAAAATTTTCAAAAAATTCCGCACAGTGCAAATTTTTTCCAAAAAAAAATCACGCACAGTGCAAAAAATATATTTTTTTAAACCTCGAAAAAAATTCGATAGACTTTCTGGCTATTATTAGGGCTGTGTAAACATGCGATAGCCGATATTGTATGCCATTTCGAGTTAAAAATATGGGCCGAAATTCGCGTTTATTCGATTATTGAGCCATTTTTTCGTAGCTTTATTAGTTTTGACGGAATCTCATTGGAATAAAAGCGTATCCAGATATTTTTTGCGTCTCTAAATTCCGTAAATTTAGTAATATTCACTTTTATACAGTTTAAAATACGGTACTTTAACTTTTTCTTAACATTTTAGACAATCTCGTGAAAAATCTTCAGTTTTGACCGTTTTTTGAGTGAAATAAAGGAATTTTTTGATGTAAATCCAATTACAAGTGGGTTGAAAATAGAACAAAGAACATTTACGTCGCTTCGATTTTATTTTTTTGACCTGAAGAAAGAAAAATTTTCAAGTTTTAAGCGATTTTAGTCATCAAAAACGGGATTTTTTTGGAAAAATGGATATAACTTATCTTCTGTGGCCAATTTTTTGATCGTTTATGCTTTTTTATTTCAAGTAATGCTTGTATTTTAATTTTGACATCAATTCTCATCAGTTCAGACACTAAAAATATCAATTTTTCACCTATATCTACTAAAATATGATGACTAATCGGAAAGTTTCAAAAATCAGACCCGTTCATAAAAACCTCTGTTACTATTCTTATTTCAGTCTCTTCTTTATGACCTAGGGATGACGCATCTCATTAGAAATCGTTAAAAAACAGGTGGTTTTTATGAAAAAATGGGGGCTTTCCTTCCGCCATCGACTTTCAAGAGCTTTGTTTATATCAAATGATCAACTGATTGTCGTCAACAGACTTTCCGCTTCATAAACAATGATAAGAGAGGAGTTTTGAGACGATTTTTCATTTTCTGCCTCAGGGGAAATTGGTTTTTTGAAATATAATTAGTGTGTTTGAAAATTAATGTGATGATTGGATTGTAAAATGGGATGTAAAATGCATTAAAATTATTGTCATTGGGTCTGGTTGCAATTTCAAGCCTTAATTTATGTTGTACTTGCTATTTATTGACCTTATTCATCAAAAAATGGGCGTTTTCTCCCAAATTTTTGGATTTTTAAATAAACTAAGGGTTAAAAAGTAGTTAAAAAGTGCTTCTAGACTATAATTTCACCAAAAACTGTCCCTTTACCTCTTATTTTGTACGTCGGCACTCAAATTTCCCGCAAAATTGGCATTAAATCCAAGTTCTTGGCATTCCGCAACAACCCCCCTTTTTGGCCGAAAACAATTTTTGGCCTTCGTTTTTTGCGAAATTCTCGCTCACATGACCCCACTAATGCGTGTCAATCGGCATTTTTCATTAGTCTGACGTGTTTTAGACCATGAATTGGTCCCGCAGGAAATTTGTGGTCCTCCTGGTGGTTCTGGCCTTGCTCATCGAGCCCATAAACAGTCGAAGAGGCGGCGGAGGCGGATTTGGACGAGGCTCCAGCGCCGGCAGATCTTCAGGTATGCTTCTAGACTTTTTTTGTTGCTGGTTTAGGCAGAAATTGAGGATTTATGGATGAAAAGACGCCTGATGTCTAGTATAATATAAAAAATGTTGGAAAGTGATGGTGAATAATGTAGAAAGGGTGTCAAACCCCGCGATTGACGTATTTTATCAGGATTTAAGGCTATGAAAGGATTTAAAGTGGAGAAACTTTGAGAAACTTCTTGAATGCGTAGTGTAATATAAAAACGGCTGTTGTTAATTTGATTTTTGAGATATAGGCATGCTTTTACATTTTGGAGCAAGCTGAGATCATCCTCTTGCTTGCAGAGTTTGTTTCATTCGAAAGAAAAGCCTCTAAGATTGGGTTTTAGCCAAACTTTTTTAGGTGTCAAGTACAACATAAATTTTATTGCAAATTACGCCGTTTCTGAAATTTTTTTGAAATTTAGTGGTAGTATGACAATGAGAATCAGATAATGATGGAAAATTGGGTTTTACAAAGCCGCAGCTGCCAGGGCATCAAATTTGTCCGGGGCTAACATCAGATAAATTCGAAAAACTAAGAGGTCTGAAATTAATATTTGAATAGTTTTGCCTTACTATTCTTTTCTGATTAAACTAGGAAGACGCCGTATTTTACCCTCATTCTTTAGGTGGGTTTGGCCGAGGCCGTACCGGCGGCGGTGGTGGAATCTTTGGTGGATCGCGAAGCTCCTCAGGCCAATCGCGTCCCAGTCATGGCACGCACAACACCGGAGGTGGAATGTTCAGCAGTGGATCCAACACGAATAATCAAAGGAACAAGGGCGGGATTTTTGGTGGATTCGGATCGTCGAATAAGCAACACAACTATCGACAGCCGGTTACTTCCACGTATGTTTCTTTTTATTTTTGTTGTTTCTGTCTTTAGGCAACTTGCAATTACATTTGTCCAAGGTTTCGGCGGACTTTTGAGAAGTTTTGTCTTTGGCAAGCTGCGCCCTAGCTTGAAGTTGAAAGTTGCCGTAAAGTTTGCGGAAATGATAATGTTGCTTTCTAAGATACTAATGGTGTGATTTATAACATATATTCTCTTTTAGATGGCGTTCCGGTTCGGGATTGGGTTCAAGAAGCAGGTCGGATACCTTCAAGAACATGATTGTTGGTGCTGCCGCTGGATACTTGACATACCAAGCCGGAAAACATTTAATTCGCTCGGCAATGGCCCCCATGATGTAAGTTTAGTTTTCGTTTTTGGATTTTGAGTAACTTTTATTTGAGGCAGCCTGCGCCCTAGGTTGTACTCAAATTTTGAGATTTTTTGGTGTCTTCTGTAAAAATGGAACTGAGACGATTGGGGAAAAGACGATTTGGGGGAAAGTACGATTGGGGAACCCGAAAAGTTTTATTTTTCTTCGATGCAAGTGTCGAAATTAGGATAATCAAGGTTTCTGATTTCGAAAATGACATTCATTTTTTTGATCCTTGATTTTTCTTCCAGTAGTACTCTAGAGTTGTTATTTTTTGGTTTTTTTTATGAATTCTCGATTGGGGGGGGGGGGGTTCGATGTTGCTGCTTTCAACTCAAAAAAAATGTATAAGATTTTCGAAATCAGCAAGGTCGAAACCCTCCAAATCGAGTATTTGTGAAAAAATTTCAAAAAATTGTTACTTTACAGTACTACTTAAAGAAAAATTAAGGATCAAAAAAGAGACAGAATGTCATTTTCTAAATTAGCACCCTCGGTAAAAATAATATTATCCTAGCTTCGACACTTGCATCGAAGAAAAATAATACTTTTCGGTTTCCCTAATTGTACTTTTCCCAATCGTCTTTTTCCCCGATCGTCCCAGTTCCATTTTTACCGAAAAACCAAAAAAAATTCTCAAAATTTGAGTACAACCTAGGGCGCAGGCTGCCTTAAATAAAAGTTCCCCCAATCGTCCAACTCCGGTAAAAAGGCACTTTTTAAATAGTGTGCTCAAAAATGCAACAATATTTTGCTTTCCAGGTGGAACAACCGCCCCTACTACTGGGGCCAGAGCTATTACCAGCCCCGGCCCAACTACCAGATGTGCCGGATGCCCCTGCAGCCGGGCGACCCGCAATTCGGCAGCATCTACTTCCAAGACCAGACCCGGCCCAAGGAAATCGTCTGGTCCTGCGGCTTCAACGAACAGTGCTGCGGCTACGAGTGCTGCCCCGGCGGCGGCGGCTACGGTGGCGGCGGGTACGGCGGCGGCGGATACGGCGGCGGAGGCTACTACGGCCGCAATGGCTACAGTGGAATCGGAATCGGGTACGCGTTTTGGGTGATCCTCGCCATTCGATGGCTTTTTTAGACGTCTTTTCTTTTTTTGAGGTCTTTTTTTGAATTTTTTTTTTCAGTTTTGGCCAATTTTTTCGAATTTTTTTATTTTTTTTTGTAAAAAAAAGAGTTTTAGACTTTGATTTAGCTTATCAAAGGTCTTTTTAAGATTTTTTCGGTGTGTAAAAGCCTTAAAAATTAGAAAAATGACCTAATTTGCCAAGTGCAATGTAAAAATTGCAAAGTTTTAGAGATTTTTTGGATTTTTCACCCATTTTTTGATCGAATTAGGTCATATAAGACTTAGTTTTTAGTTTAACATAGTGTATTTGGTCTAAAAAATATATTTTACCTTACTTTTATATCGTTTTTTAATTCTTTTTAAGCCATTTCTTAAAAATATTGCCATTTTTCTTTAATTCCGCTATTTTCCCTACTAACATTGCACTGTTTGGCCGGGAGAGTCGGCGTGGATTAGACTGTAGGGTCTGTAGATTGTATGGTATTGGTTGAAAATAATTTTGAAAGGAGTTTTGGAGGGCTGCCACCTTATTTTAGGTGATTTTTGGCAATTTTTTCGATTTTTTGAATTTTTTTGCATTTTTTTGATAAAAAGATGCAAGTAAATAGATAGATTATGGCTAATATAGTGTCTCGATGACAGTTGTCGTATTTTACAACCTAAAATACGATATATTTTGGGAGATTTTCACGCTTTTTAACCTAATAGGACGTCGAAAAATTTTTTAAATTTTTTGCGGTTTTCTAACAAAATTTCACCGAGTAGAGAGTAGAAAGTAACCGAAATGAAAGCTAAAAATTTTTTAAGCCGTTCAGCGAACCCGCCATATATGCACCAAGACCATATTGGCCATAATAATGACAATCATGACATACCCCTAGAAACCACCTCTAATCCCACCGAAAGCTCGAACGACGACTGGTGAACAGTGCAGAAAACTTTTTTATCCGGTCTGAACAAGGTCTTGCCTTGATATTGACGAGTTGCAGTTGTTTTTAAAAAAATTTTTGAGGTTTTTTGGATTTTTTTTGAAATTTTTTGAAATTTTTGGTGTAAAATTGAAAAATTTTGGATGAAAAGGTGGTGGAAAATTATGTAAGATTAATTTTTGATATTTTTTGGATTTTTTTAATTTTTTTGAAATTGATTTTTTGACCGAAAAACGAGATTTTTTGTTTTTTTTTTGAAAAATTTGATGACTAAAATAATATTTTTTTGATCTAAAATGGCCTAAATTATGATCAAACACATCGGAAATTAGATGAATCTTTTGTTTTAAATTTTTTTCGAAGCTATTTTGCCAGAAAAATAAGATTTAAAAAAAATTTTTATCAGTTGTTACCTAAAATAATTTTTTTTGTCCAAAACTTTTTCTGAAATCAAGATTTTCATTTTAAATACGACTGTAACTCCCCATTATCGACTCCGGTGTCGGTCTAAAACCCCAAATATTCAATCAATTCTAGTCGTTGACGGTGATTTCTCCCCGGTCTTGGAACGCTTATTTTCTTTCGCTCATCGAATTGGATTATCGGTCTAAAAACGTATCCGCATCTCTCTTTCACCCCGCATTTGTAAATAGTCTTGCCAACGAACTCGTATTTTAGACTTTTATTGCTTCAATTTTTGTTTTTTTTTCGCTAAAGGTGATTCGAACAGAATTTTGCGCAATAAACGATATTTTTTTTTGAACGGAAGAGAATTTTAGTTGTGTTGTCGGTCCAAATTTGAAGTTTTTTGTGCATAAATGTGCCCGAATTTGTGTTCGAATTGCTTTTGGAATAAGTTTGAGTGGATTTTGGATGGGATTTGGAGGTTTTTAGACGGATTTACGGCGATTTTTGAGTTGGCAGGCTGCGCCCAGGCTTCAGTGAAAAAATAGGCGTTTTGCGGAGTAATATGAAAAAATACGGCCAGTAGGTTATCAGGAAACTGAATTTGGAGTGTTTCTATGAAAATCCGACAATTGCCAGCTATTTGTTGAGTTGGCAGGCTGCGCCCAGGCTTCAGTGAAAAAATAGGCGTTTTGCGGAGTAATATGAAAAAATACGGCCAGTAGGTTATCAGGAAACTGAATTTGGAGTGTTTCTATGAAAATCCGACAATTGCCAGCTATTTGTTGAGTTGGCAGGCTGCGCCCAGGCTTCAGTGAAAAAATAGGCGTTTTGCGGAGTAATATGAAAAAATACGGCCAGTAGGTTATCAGACAGCGTATTCTGGGGTGTTTCCATGAAAAATCCGGAGATTGTCCGCCATTCTTTGAGTTGGCAGGCTGCGCCCAGGCTTCGGTGAAAAATAGGCTTCTTGTCGGGTAATCTAGGGAAATACGGAGACTAGGTTATTAGACAACTGAATCTAGAGTATTTATATGAAAATACGGAAAATTTAGAGTTGGCAGCCTGCGCCCAGGCCTTGAATTGAAATTGGCTGTTTTGACGAATTTAATAATGATTTTTCGCCGTAAATTGATGAGTTTTTAAAATACGAGTTCTGGGAAGTGTCAGACTGTTTGTTTTTAATCTACGATGTTCAGATCAACCTCAATTTTCGGATAAAAAAAATTAAACTTTTGATAGAAACGTTACCTCCAAGCGTAGGATTTATCTTTAATAAACACTCCCAGAGTCTTATTCTCACGGAATCAAACATATTTACTGAGTATTTTCATTTTATTTATCGAAAATTTGGGATTTTTTTCGTTTGATCTCAAGTATAATATAATTTCCCCAATTTTTCGTCAAAAACAGAGTTTTATTTGCAGTTCGTTGATCATCCTGCTCCTTCTGGGCTCGTGCGGCGCATTTATTGTATACAAAATTTGCCAGAACGTGAAGAATAACAAGTATCAGCAAGGCCGACCGACCGATGCGCCCCCTCAATACGCCTATTAAGATACGATTTTTGTATCGAAAATAGGTTGGGGAACAAATTTTATGTACATACGGTGATATTGTATCTTATTTTATCCAGTTTAAAGCGGTTTTTTGAGATTTTATTTTTTGAGATTTTTTGAATTTTTTTTTTATTTTTAAGATTTTTAATGATTTTTTTATGGTTTTCTGATATGTCACAGTCATTTTCAACGAAATCTCGAGACATTCTCTGCATTTGCCTCAATTTTTAACGATTTTTTTGAGAATTTTATATTGTTTTAGGTGATTAATGTTAAATTTTTTGAAATTTTTTGTTTTTTTTGGCTAGAAATCATAATAAATTGTTTTTTGATCGATTTTTTGGCTTTTCAAGTTAAAATTTGGTCGAGAAAACAGAATTTTTTCCAAAAAATTCCAATTTTTTATGTTCATATTTTTGTTTCAAATTAATTTTTTGGGCCGTGTCCGGTCACCACCCAGCACTTGACGCAGTCAATTTTGCTTTTTTGCGACTTTTTTTTGTTTGTTTATACAGTTGAGAAAGTGCGATTTGGGTGGTCCTAATATTGGGACTATTTTTTTGAATTGACTAAAAATTTTTAAGGGTAGCTTAAATATTATGATTGTTTTTTTCGTTTGTATTTTACAATTTTTTTTACTAGAAAAATTATTTTTTTAAAAACTTTTTCGGACAAAAAAATTTTATTTTTATTTTTTAAATAAAAAAAATATTTTTTTTTTATTTTTTTCTGAAGATTTTTCGTGTTGAGCAAAAAAAAGTAAAAATTTTTTACAGAAATGAAAAAAAATTTTTTTTTTGAAATTTTAAAAAATATTTTTTTTATAAAGAATTAGTCAAATTTCCAGAATAAAAAATGATTTTAAAAAACTTCCTTTATCTGAAAAAAAATAAAAAATAACTTTTCAAATAAAAAAAATTGTAAAATACGAATAAGGTAATTATAATTTTTAACTGCCAAAAAATGCTTTTATATTTAATTTTTCAAATTAAATATAAAAATTTAATAAAAAAGTTTTTTTGACCGAAAAAAATTAATTTAAAAATCATTTTTTTGGGGTAAAAATACTTCAAAAAATTATTTTTACATAAAAAAAGATTTTTTTTTACTTTTTTTCTAATTCTTTTGCTATTTTTCTTCTAAATTCTGACAACTTTTCAAGTAAAAAAGTTGTAAAATACGAATAAGGGGTTATTATAATTGTTTTGCAATGCCTAATAAATGATTTTATTTAATTTTTCAAAAAAAAAAAAGAAAATTAAATAAATAAATAAAGTTGTTTTTTGATCTAAAAAATATGTTTAAAAAAGTCATTTTTTGAATAAAAATACATACTTCAAAAAATTATTTTTACATAAAAAAAGATTTTTTTTTGCTTTTTTTCTAATTCTTTTGCTATTTTTGTTCTAATTCTTTTTTCACTATTTTCCAAAGTCCTTTCCCCAATTACCTCCAAACCTTTGCAAGATTAATTCCCGCCCGAGCTCACGAGGCTCAATAAATCGCCGCTGAACGGAGCGGAAAAACAAAGTGGAGATCTTTTGTGTCGTTCCGTGCCAATGTTTTTCGCAGCCGCGACGCAAAAACAGAGAGACGAGATAAGCGGTGGGGAAATCTGTGAGCTCGTTCGAACCGTGCGTGCGAGCCTTCGATGGGATTTTCAAACAGCACTTGAAAGTGGAAGGGTCGTATTGTAGCGGATATTGTGTAAAACGCTCCTCTTCGTTGAGGAGAAAGAGCGGTTTTGAGATGTTAAAAAGTGACCAAAGGGATCAGTTTATACAGTTCTGTTTCCGGTGGAAATGGGGAAGTTGCGATGCTCCTATTTCTAACCAGACTTGGCTCTCGGGTCGGCCCGGGCCGAAAAACGCGGCCCGGCCCGTGGGCCGGTTAAAAATTAATCAAAAAATTCCCGAGATCCGTTTTCAGACTATTAAAAATTGCCCCAAGATTAATTTTATAGATTCAGCAAAGGTGGAACCACGTTTATCAAGATTTTCAACTTCCAGATGATAGTGTTGCTTCACACGACTTCTTAATTGTGTTTTTAAGGATGTCAGTTACGTTTACATATTTTGAGTGTTTGTTCAAAAAATTACAACAAACACTGATATACATTAGTATTCAATAGATTTTACTAGTAAAATTACTTATTATTAGCCATTTTTGAGTACTTCCGTGCTTTATTTTTATAAAATTATGCTTACTGGGAGAAAGATATAAACCCCATTCTTGGCTTTGCGTTTTAATTTTATTGGCAATCCAACTTTCCGCTTTGAAATTCAAAATTTTAATTTTGCCGGGCCGGCCCGGCCCGTTTCAATTTTGCTTTGGCCCGGCCCGGCCCAGCCCGGCAGCCAAGTCTATTTCTAACACAGAGTGTTGCCCTAAAAATTCTTTTCAAAGAATAATGTTTTGCCTTTGTCTACAGTATATATACAATACCTAGAACATTATTTCCAAAAAAAAAAAAAATAATTTTTTCCAAACGAAATTCGCAAAGATATGTATGAAAAGGATTATTTTTTGCCTTATCGTATTTTACTTGGTGCTTCCTAACAATTTGTAAGCGGGAGCTAAAATTTCCAGGCACACCCTGCTCACGAATAACGCCGATTTCATAAAAAAACGCAAACTTGAAACGGTCTGATCTCTACTACATAAAGGGTGGCAAGAAAAAACGGAAACTTTCTTTCATGCGTCCTGGCGCAAAAATGTTAACGTATAGCCAAATGGTTCTGCTACCATTAAATTCTCCGTGTTTTTCTGTCCTAGTACTGTGACTTTCATGGTCATACCGAATATTTAGCATGGTTTTTTTGAATGTCAAACAGAGAGACCTCGATTTTGGACCTTTTTTGGAGCTGTTCGAATTGTTAACTTGCTCAGTATAGAAAGGACGTTGTGTCGAAAGTAATCACACAATGCAAGTAGCTTGACATCAACAGTAAACGTCTGGGAAGTGAAAGACGCAGCGGCAACACTTTTGCCATTTGCAAGGTCATCAACAGCAAATACAGCGATTTTTCAAAAAAATTGCTCGTAAGAACGGCGATTACAGCGAGTCTTTTGGAAAAGCTGGTACAAGGAATGAAGCAAAGAAAAACGCATAAAAATACTGCCATTTAGAGTCCAAAGAAGCGAATATCAAAAAAAGCGCGAGCTAAAATATATATATATAAAATAGTCTTTGAAAATGCTGCCTTTAACTTGCGTTTTTTTCTCTTTTGAATATTTTCATATTTTTTTATTTTTTTTTATTTTTCCCCCACTTCAATGTTTTGGCAACCTTCCCATTTGAATATTCAATATCCCCTCCGCGTTTTTTCTATTCCCGCTTTTCCATAAAATACGGTATGAAGCGCGCGGTCGTCGGTTTTTCGAAAAAAGAGCGCGCCTCCGAAGTCAGCTGACATTCAGGAGAAAGGAGGGCGATTTGTGCTGGAATCGAGCCAAATGTCCATTCCGAAAACAGTCAGTTCTCTTCTTTATGGCTTGTTTACGGCATCGTCCATTTTACATTGTTCGAATTTGTGCCAGCCGAGGGACAGTAACAGTCATTTTGAGGGGGAAATGTGACTTCCGAAGCAAAAATTCCTGTTTTTTGATTAAAAAACTTTAATTTTTCTATTGTGATGAGTCCAAAATTAAAATCACTATTTTCAAATTAATTTTCGAGATGCTTAGCGTGCGCTTTGCAGAAACCACCAAGAATTTTTAGTCGGATATAAGAAGGGTGCGTTATATGATTCCAAAAAGTTTCAAACTTACTTCATTTTTAGCCTACATGAAATTTTTGTTTTTTTTTAATCTAGGCAAAAAAAAATTATTTTTTTTTGGCATAGGTGGTTTTTTTTCATGTGGGCGAATTTTTTTTTTTTTTTGGCATAGGTGGTTTTTTTTTCATATATCAGTCTGTCGGGAAAGCAATGGCGGATCGTCGCGCCTCGGAATCGCCCATCATCACTTTGCGACGGCGAAGTTTGTGATCTCAGAAATTGGAAAGATGAAGAAATGGAAGTAGGCTAAAACCGAGATTTTGGCCTAGTTCATGCAGTCGGTGAAGATGTAGGCCAAAACCGAGATTTTGGGTTTTGGCCTAGTTGATTAAATCGAAGTTGATTAAATCGAACTAGGCCAAAACCATGATTTTCGCCTACTTCCTACCCGCTTGGATGAACTAAGCCAAATCCACGTTTCCGCCCAGATCATAGAAAATCCTAAAACAGGTGGAGTTATATATCCAAAAATTCGCAAAATTTTTCTGATTCAGAATATGTAAAAATTTGTTGACTAATTTTGGTTTGAAAGGGTGAAAAATTCCTCAAACCTTTTCTCGCAACACCATGAAAATGCCTTTTTGACCAAGTTTTTACCAATAAGAAAATAAAAATTCAATGGATAAATGTGTCTTGCCCACAGCAATTTCGCGTCACGGCACGAAAATAATTATTTGGCATTCTGTTCAAGAGGCGTCCTATTGGTAAACAAGTTGTTGATTTCGCAATGTTTTTTCAAGCATTTGATTTGGTAAAAACTTGGTCAAAAACGCATTTTCATGGTGTTGCGAGAAAAGCTTTGAGGAATTTTTCACCCTTACAAACCAAAATTAGGCAGCAAATTTTTACATATTCTGAATCAGAAAAATTTTGCGAATTTTTGGATATATAACTCCACCTGTTTTAGGATTTTCTATGATCTGGGCGGAAACGTGGATTTGGCTTAGTTATCCAAGCGGGCAGGAAGTAGGCGAAAATCATGGTTTTGGCCTAGTTCGATTTAGTCAACTTCGATTTAATCAACTAGGCGAAAACCCAAAATCTCGGTTTTGGCCTACATCTTCACCGACTGCATGAACTAGGCCAAAATCTCGGTTTTAGCCTACTTCCATTTCTTCATCTTTCCAATTTCTGAGATCACAAACTTCGCCGTCGCAAAGCGATGATGGGCGATTCCGAGGCGCGACGATCCGCCGTTATTTTCCCGACAGACTGATAT